GTTATGTTTATTTTTTTTCTTCAGTATGTGTGTGTGTGCGCGTGTACGTGTATGTATGTGCGCATGAGTAGAATCGACATTCTATACATGTGCACGTTGAAGTCAAAGACTGCCTCCGCCACGGACACAGCCGTTAAAACATATGGCGCTTTACTCGACAATTCTTTCGAACCAATCAACTTTACCATGCAGCATCTCTCATATGACAAGTGTCTGATTTAGAATCACTTGACAGTATTTCATTGATGCCTCTTCCAAAAAATCTATCTGGCGCAAAACGTTTAACCTATTTCTTTCTCCTTTCGTTGTTTTTTCTCTTTATACTCTCGCCATATTCATTTTCAGTCTTCTCTCTTTTGGTTAAGTTGATAATAATTGTATTTAGCTTTGGCTTTGCTTCTCACTAAGTGCCTGCTTACAGCAACAAGACCGAAGCTAATAGTGTTTTCATTTTTTATTGCTTACTGTCCATTTTTTTATTTTTTATTTTGTTAAATTTTGCCAATATACTATGCAGTTTGCAGTTGAACAGCGATCATTAAGTGTCTGCCTGTTAGACACATGGCACAGTGGATAAAGTCGTTGGTTAGATCGAGTGACAGTGTGAGTTCAATACCAGGTTAAGGCAGTGGAGAACTTGGAGAGGTGAATTAACAGGAGATAACTGATAACTAACATCCATTAAACATGGCACGTGGAACTAGAACAGTCTACCCCAAGTGAACAAAATAAAGGTTTCAGCTCGACATTCCTAACACCTGAAGAAGGCCGGAGCGTACATCCGCCGAAACGCTGTTATCAGACCTTTACAGCCTGTTAATTCACCTCTCCAAGGATACATGGCACAGTCGATAAAGGCGTTGGTTAGATCCATTGACAGGACCCAAAGAGTTGTGAGTTCAATACCTGGTTAAGGCAGTGGAGAACTTGGAGAGGTGAATTAACAGAAGATAACTGATAACTGACATCCATTAGACATGGCACGTGGAACTAGAACAGTCTGCCTCAGCGAGCAAAATAAAAGGTTCACTTCAACATTTCAACCACCTGAAGATGGCCGGAGCGTACAACGGCCAAAACGTTGTGATAAATATGGCAACAAAGATGAGGGCAATAGTCCGAATAATGTAAATAGTGTAGTGATCATTAAGTTTTCGTCTCACAGAGTAATGAGATTAATCAGTCCTGAATGCTCTATTATAATGACCTCATGCCTGTTTTAGCCAAAATACTTAAATACCTGTTACAGTAAATGATTTTTTTTTCCTTTAGGAAGATGTGATTCTTGGTTTTTATGTTTCGATATTTTTTGCAATCGTTTTCTTATGGTCTAGAATGAAGATATTTCATCAATCTAAAAATAACATTGACATCATTGATGATAAAAAATAAGGATATTTCATTATCCTACCCTCATCATTATAAAAACGACCCTTCCACCACAAGAGAGTTAGTAGGGAAAAGTAGAGTAAACAGATTAGGGTACCCTAGAGCAGTACACCATTAAATAAGTAGTAGTAGTAGTAGTCTTTGCCGTAAAGATCGAAAACAGACAATTTCAAACGCCATCCTCGCAACCGAAATACTCGGAACCAAACCAAGAACTGACTTTTAAACAACAGACACACTGAGAACATTTTTACAAACAGCATACCAATATTCTGTAAATCACATCACAAAAATAATATACAAATTCTTGCTTATATTATTATTGTACGTTTTAATCCATTTCGTTTTTAATATAAAAAAGATTCCTCCTACACTACAAATACATATAGCAACAACACTCAAATACTATCAAATCGGGATTACTATTACATCAACACTGACTTACCTCCCCTGCTACACTTTTATTTTCCATATTGCAACTGTAGATATGCTAGGGTCATGGTTGTGTTATGGTCTAGAATGAGGATGATATTTCATCAATCTAAAAATAACATTGCCATCAGTGATGAAAAAAATAAGGGTATTTCATTATTCTACCCTCATCATTATAAAAACGACACTCCCACCATAAGAGAGTGGAGCAGAGTAGAGTAGTGTAGACTAGGGTACAAGTAATAGTAGTCAGTAGAAACACATGTCAGCCAGCACGCCGGAAGATCAAAAACAGATGATTTCAAACGATATCCTGACAAACGAAATTCTTGGAACCAAACCAAGAACTGACTTTTAAACAGGAGACACACTGAGAACATTTTTACAAACACCATACCGATATTCTGTAATTCACACCACAAAAAGAAAATACAAATTCTTGCTATTTATGACAACACATATCTCGAGTTTTTATTGTTTACTAGCAGCATGGCCCGGTGTTGCCCGTGCTTGATTCAAAAATCGTATGACTCATACAGCAATCGCTATCACTTGACTTCAAATATTTTTGCCTTTCCTTGCCTTTAAAGGGGTGCACTTTGCCGTGCTGATGTTTCTACATGTCTTACTTCTTGCCTATCTCACACTGCGAATTTTTTCTAAGCTCTATACTAAACATTAAATCTGTTACAAAAAAAGAACTAAATAAAATGAACACAAAACGATCAGCTTTAAAAAAAGGACTCGTGACTGGAAAAAACCGAATGAAAAAAGAATGTTAAAAACAAATACTTTTTCACACACAACCCAGTTCTGCCGAATCAGAATCAGCGTTGAGTTTAAGCAAGCGAATGAGCCAATAGGAGTAAAGTGCCATGCAGATTTAAATTTTTCCCACTTGTGACGAATGCCGCTATCGAATTTTTGTATGCTAGTTAACATTCGTGTCAGTCAGCTGTTGGCTCTCACGCTGGCCAATAGAATCTTCCTGCCTATTCGTGGCAGCCAGCTATAGGCTCTCACTCTGGCCAGTAGAAAATGGCCGCAAACTACATGAAAACTGTTGTAGAAGCATGAAAAAATCGATTATTTCCACTATCGATGGGAGTTGGGAAATGCAAAGTCGGTGTTGGGCTTCCGCTAACTTGGAGCATGTGCATGTAAATTTTGGTGCAAATCTGTCGAAAATTGCGGCCGTGCATTCGTTACACACACACACATCCTGCCTTTTATAGATAGAGATGTAATTGCTGTACATTTTAATTCATTTCATTTTCAATATAAAAAAAAGAGAAAAGGATTCTTGTTACACTACAAATGCATATAGCAATGGGGTAATTTACTTTAACAACCCTCAAAAAAATAATATCAAGTCAGGATTACATGAAACCTAAGTTAACTACCTTCTTACACTTTCTTTTGGCGAACCTTTTATTAAAGTTTAAAACCTCAAAATTGATACTGATTCAAAAAAACTATCATTTCTTCCGATCATTTCAATTTGAATATTTTATGTGGAATTAAATAGTTTGTCATTACTTCGTCACTCGCTTTATTCAATTTCGTTCGTTGACGTTTTACCCTTCCAACTTCGCGTATAATTTCATCGCTTCTTTCAGGTGCCTTTTTCCTTCTTTTCTTTCTTCTTTCATTCTGGATTTCTTCCACACTTCCTTTCACGGGTTCTTTCTTACACGTTTTTCTTTTCTTTTTTTCAATTTACAGTTTTCTTCCACCCTTCCTTTCTTCTCTCCTTTCTTCGCTCCTTTCTTCTCTCCTTTCTTCGCTCCTTTCTTCTCTCCTTTCTTCGCTCCTTTCTTCGCTCCTTTCTTCTCTCCTTTCTTCTCTCCTTTCTTCGCTCCTTTCTTCTCTCCTTTCTTCCTCCCTTCATTCCTCCCTTCCTTCCTTCCTTCCTTCCTCCCTTCCTTCTACGGTTTCATCCTGTTTGGTATTATTCTTTTCTTCTCTTGTTCCTTCTACGGTTTCTTTCTTTCTTTCTTTCTTTCTTTCTTTCCTTCTTTCCTTCCTTCTTTCCTTACTTCTTTCTACGTTTTGTTCATTTCCTTCCTTTCACATTTTCTTACCTCTGCTGTTCAATCCTTCCTTCTTTCCTTCCTTCTTTCTTTTCTTCGTTCGTTCCTTCCTTCCTTTGTTCCTTCCTTCCTTCCTTCCTTCCTTCATTCCTTCCTTCCTTCCTTCCTTCCTTCCTTCCTTCCTTCCACGGTTTTTCTTTCTACCATGGTACATTCCTACCTATTTTCTATCCCCTGATCTAATAAATCTTAATTTTCAACCAATCGTTGATGAAAAACACAATTTATCCGCTACTACCACTTCCGATTCTCTTGTCTTCCCGCCATTGTTATCAATGGCGGAATGGTTCGACTACTTTGCATATCGAAGCCATTCGAATCTTTTCTCCTCTTTGTCAAGTCAACAAATGCAAATTTATACGAATATGAAAGTAAAAATCAATTCAAAATCGATTTTCAAGGATCCAATGAATTATGTCTTTCCTTTTCTCTCGATTATTTTGCAAATCTTTTCTAGATTCTTTTAATGCCAGACTTCAATTATTTGTTTTATCACTTTTTTTTTCATTGGACCACAAATTTTTTTCTTAATTTATTTTGATTCATTCAACGCATATTTAAAAATGTTTACTTTTTACCACAGAATTTTTCATGCCTGCTATATTTGAAAAAAATATTTTTTAGAATTGTTTATCAAGTTTATTTTGTATGGTACAAGGCTACATTTATAGGGTAATAAATATAATTCAATACAATAATTATTTATTGTATGGCTGACTTGTATTAAAGAAAGAAAAAAAATCTGGTGCAAAAAAAAGAAAAACAACATTCGATGAAAAATAAAAATAATATCTAGGAAAGATAGAGAGAGACGATTCTCTCTCTCTCTCTCTCTCTCTCTGTGTGTGTGTGTGTGTGTGTGTGTGTGTGTGTGTGTGTGTGTGTGTGTGTGTGTGTGAAAGAGATATAACATGACAAATAGAATTTAAAGAAACAAAGAAAAGCGAAAGCAAAAGAGAAAAGAATCTGGTAGAAAAGGAAAAACCATTCTAATAAGAATAAAAAGAAAGGACCAAGGAACAGTGTGTGAGTGTGTGAGAAAGAAAGAAAGAAAGAAAGAAAGAAAGAAAGAAAGCATATGAACTTCTAGAAGCAAAGAAAGAAAGAATATGTATTTCTAAAAGCAAAAAAAGAATATGTATTTCTAAAAGCAAAGAAAGAAAGAAAGAAAGAAAGAAAGAAAGAAAGAAAGAAAGAAAGAATATGATTTTTTAAAAGCAACGAAAGAAAGAAATCACGTGAATTTAGGGACGTAAAAAAAGAAAGAAAAAGAAAGAAAGAATATGTATTTCTAAAAGCAAAGAAAGAAAGAAAGAAAGAAAGAAAGAAAGAAAGAAAGAAAGAAAGAAAAAAAGAAAGAATATGATTTTTTAAAAGCGAAGAAAGAAAGAAATTACGTGAATTTAGGGACGTAAAAAGAAGAAAGAAAAAAAGAAAGAAAGAAAGAATATGTATTTCTAAAAGCAAAGAAAGAAAGAAAGAAAGAATATGTATTTCTAAAAGCAAAAAAGAAAGAAAGAAAGAAGAAAAGAAAGAAAGAAAGAAAGAAAGAAAGAATATGTATTTCTAGAAGCAAAAGAAAAGAAAGAAAAGAATATGTATTTCTAAAAGCAAAGAAAGAAAGAAAGAAAGAAAGAAAGAGAAAGAAAGAATATGTATTTCTAAAAAAGCAAAGAAAGAAAGAAAGAAAGAAAGAAAGAAAAAAATATTATTTTTAAAAAACAAAGAAAGAAAAAATCACGTGAATTTAGGGACGTAAAGAAAGAAAAAAAAAGAAAGAAAAGAAAGAAAGAAAAGAAAGAATATGTATTTCTAAAAGCAAAGAAAGAAAGAAAGAAAGAAAGAAAGAAAGAAAGAATATGTATTTCTAAAAGCAAAGAAAGAAAGAAAGAAAGAATATGTATTTCTAAAAGCAAAGAAAGAAAGAAAGAAAGAAAGAAAGAAAGAAAGAAAGAAAGAAAGAATATGTATTTCTAAAAGCAAAGAAAGAAAGAAAGAAAGAAAGAAAAAAAAAAGAAAGAAAGAAAGAAAGGTAGGTGATATTTCGACGCAGAAAAGAGACATAGTAAAAATGTCTTAAAGCGAATTTTCAGAAAGCAAATTTAAAACAAACTCAAGAAGAATGATTTCGGTATTCAAAAAAAAAGAAAAAAGTTTTGATGGAACGACAGAGACGTGAGAGAGTTGAAAAGGAAGTTAAGAAAGATTTTATTGATATTCTGCACATGTGCACATTGAAATCAATGACTGCTTCCGTCACACAAACAACCGCTAAAAAATGAGGCGCTTTACTCGACAATCCTTACGAACCAATCAACTTCACCATGCAGCATCTCTCATGTGACAAGTGACTGATTTAAAATCACGTGATAGCATTTCATTGACGTACCTTGCATTTGAAAAGTCATATAGAAGAACTACGGCGAGTGACTGGGCCTCGTACACAACATTTAACCTGGATACGACCGGCCTAATTACTGACTAACCAATATTGATCAAACCGGCATCGTCGTGCCTTGAAACCGATCCATCTCTTATGACCATCTGCCGTCTTCCATTGGTTAAAAACCCAACTCAAAGGACAGCAATAAAGATGAGAACGGATACTATCTAACGACCGTAGCATCGCGATCAGCAAATTGCAATAAAAAAAAATGAATCAAAATGGAAAAAACATTGGTTAAAATTAATAATAATTGACATGGAGACATTTAAGAAGTACAATTTAACAATTATTTTATAATTTTTATTTGATTACACGGCGTGGGGGTAGGCGTATATAGCTCTCCAATTTCCGATTCTTTCTTATCAGCAGTGATTTATTTGTAAAGACATTGGAAAGGTTTCCCGTTGACTTCTCCACGTTTTGAAATCTAAGTTGTCTTTCTCTGAGACTGGCTGATACGCAAAACTAGAGAACCACGTCTGACCAACTAAGAAAGATAAATTCCTACCTTTTCCGAGGCCATTAGTCCGAAGTGAATTCAACTACATAAAAGGTTATATATATATATATATATATATATGAAAAAAAATATATACGGAAAAAACAAACAAAAATCCTTATATACAATTATGCTGTTTTAATGTTAACGTCGGACGCTTCGGTCTAATAAATCATCTTCAGGACATATTCATAAATTATAACATTGGATAAGTCTTGTTCTTATGTACATCGTCTTTGTCATGTTGTATTGATAATGTTATACTTTATGAATATGTCCTGAAGATGGTTTATTAGACCGAAACGTCCGACGTTGACATATTAACATTAAAACAGCATAATTGTATATAGATTGTTGTTTGTTTTTTCCGTATATATTTTTCTTCATACTGTCGGATTTATATCCATATATTTTCTTACATATATATATATATATATATATATATATATATATATATATATATATATATATATAGTTTAAAATTAGATTTCATTCGAAGCCAATTTTTTTTGCCAATAGTGTATATTTCAATAAACTTATTTTTTCCTATTTTTTTTCTTGTCTCATTTTTACCGGCGGCATTATTATCTGTGCCATTATTATTTAAATTCAATTATATATATATATATATATATATATATATATATATATATATATATATGTGTGTGTGTGTGTGTGTGTGTGTGTTGTTAAAAACACACAATAATGGCGCAGATAATAATTGCACAGGTAATAATGACACAGGTAGTGATTGCACAGGTAATAATAGCACAGGTAATAATGGCACATGTAATAATGGTACAGGTAAAAATTATACAGGTAATAATGGCACGAGCAATAAAGGTACAGGTAATAATGGCACAGGTAATAATAGCAGAGGTAATAATGGCACAGGTAATAATGGCTCAGTTAAAAATCGTACAGGTAATAATGGCACAAGTAATAATGGTACAGGTAATAATTGCACAGGTAATGATTGCACAGGTAATAATAGCACAGGCAATAATGACACAGGTAATATTGGCACAGGTAAAAATGGAACAGGTAATAATTGCACAGGTAATAATGGCACAGGTAATAATGGCTTAGTCACAACATGAGATTAAATTTTCTTTTTTAAAAGTTGTTCATATCTTAGAACATTTGATTTCATTATAATTGTTTTTCGTAAATGTTAATCGGATAAATTTATATTAACAAATGGAGGTAAAACAAATCTATTTTTTTTTTTTTGCTAATATTAAAAAATAGATAAATAAAATGTTATATATGATATATTTTTTGCTTAAATTAGATTTAATTCAAAACCAATTTTTTTACAATAGTGTATATTCCAATAAATAAACTTTTGATTTCTTGTTCTCTCACTTGTGCCTTTTTTAACGGTGATATTATTAATCGTCCGATTGTTACCTAAATTCGGTATCCATTTTAACTGTTGCAGTTGTTGACACTCCTCAGCTGATATGCTTTCTATTATTTAGTACAGTTCTTTGTATGTGATTCTGTAGCGCCAATCCACAATGTTTGAAGACGACTTACCTTTGCCAACACCCTCAGGTTTTACTCGCTCGAATCCTTTTTTGTTTTTTCGCCATTGATCTTTGGAAACGGTTGCATATCGCTGAGAGTTTAGATATTTCTGAAGAAGTTTGGCGCTATGTATGACATCCTACTGAAAGTCTCGATTTGACGAGGCTATTTAAAAACATGATTCGATTTTCCAGGTTAAAGTTTTGGTTTTGTAGCAATTGGCGGTATTGGGCGAAACTATATCTGACGCAGCCTGTTCTATGTTCAATTTTCATTTCTCCTATACTTAGAGGAGTTATATGCTTGTGTGTCGGCTATCGGCTATCAGCTATCTTTGTAATCTGCATATCTTGTGTTATTAAGATCGTGGTCGCCAATAATGTACCCTGGTCGAACTAATCTTCTCAGAATCGCCTCGTTTAGTATTTCCAGTTTAGTATGAATATTTCATCTGATTGCAAATGCAAAAACAATTAGCACCAAAGATAAACTCTTAACCTAAACAACCCCGAATACAGAGCGTGTATTGTGAAATTTTATCATTTTGGGCGGTGAAGCGAAAAACGTCTTCCTTGATTAAAGGAATTGTGCCCACATTAGAGAAGATTTTTCCAAGTACAATGTTGTATCAGTGTATACACGTACACTGTTCTACCTCCCCTTTCAATTCAGAGTATTTATGTACAGGGTGCGAGTACTATTTGAGGACATATTGTTTTAAGTTCACTAGACACTCAAATCATTTATAATATTATTTTTTTTATTTCAGATAACCCAGTCAGAGGAAGATGTTAAACCAAGAAATAAAAAAGACATGCAGTCATTGTTGCTTTAGCTGCAAAACATAGGGATTTAAAAATCAGTAACTTTTTACATGGTGCCAGATCATTTGTTCATAAGTTTTGGTTGGAGCTAGAGGGATGTAATGGCAATGTTTCCCCTGTAGCAAAAAGAAAAAAGCATTCACAGCGTACTGATAACCGTGAGAACACCAGAATTTATATGGAATGTTCAAAACATCATCGATAAGAACCCCGGAAGATCAATGAGGTCCATCGCCAAAGAACTCCAAGTATCAGAATGGACTATCAGAACCGTGGTACATCAGGACATTCGATATAAGTCATATGTAATGAGGAAAGGCGAATTCATATCGGCGAAGACACAGGAAAACCGTCTCATGCATTCAAAATGGTTGCTGAACAAAGTGAAAAATCACCACAAACATGGCATGCTTTGGTTTTTCTCTGACGAAAAAACTTTGACCAAGATCAGAAAACAAACAGACGGAATGATAGGTGGCTATGTGCATCTCCTTCTGAAGTACCCAGGGTGATGCACATCAAATATCCGGCTATTGTGATAGTTTTAGGAGTTGTGAGCAGTGAAGGTCATGTCATGCCACCTTACATTTTCTCACAAGGTCTTAGGGTCAATGCTGCTGGATACATTAATGTTCTTAAAACGATTGTTAAGCCCTGAATGAATAAAGTATGCAATGGATGGCTATATGTCTTTCAACAAGACTCTGCACCTTCTCACAAAGCCATTGTAACCCAGAATTGGTTATCAAAGAATTTTTACGATCATGTGACCCCCAACATGGCCCCCTAAATCACCAGATTTAAATCCTATGGATTATTACGTGTGAAGCGTCGTTGAAAAGGAGACATCCTCATAGTACCATAGCTGGACTAAAGGTCGCCATTGTCCAGGTGATGTCCAAAATGAATAGGGGCCACTTAATTGCAGCTTGTGGACATTTTCAAGCCCGAATAGAAGCAGTCATTGAAGCCAAAGGTGGATTCATAGAATAATTAGATAAAGAAGTATCATGAAGGATATTTGTGTCAATTTGAAATAAATATATACATTGTTTGCTAAGATATTGCTGCTTATTTAACATACGAAAAATGTCCTCAAATAGCACTCGCACACTGTACTTCCTCGTCGACCTCAAGTTCATTCGTTGTCAACCTTCTTAGCCTCAAATAACGTACAGCATATTTTTTTTATTTTAGCTCAAACGATATAGGTTTGCAGGGCGTCTGGAGAAATCATGTCTATCATCAAAAAGTGAGAAATGATGATAAGAGAAAAAGAGAAAATTAGTCACATAGACATATAAACAAACAAAATTGAATGAAAATGAAGAAAAAGAAGGAAAAGAAAAAAGAAAAAGTAAACTAAAATAAATACGAATGAAGAAAGAAAGAAAGAATCAATAGAAAGAAAAGGTGAAGAATTGAATGAAAGAAAAAAGAAGAGAATGAAAAGAAAAAAAGAAGGTAAAAAGAAAGGACGAAGAAGTAATGATAAAAAAAAAATAAGTGAAATAAATGAACGACAAAAAAACGTCTGGAACGAATCGAAAACAAAGAAAATTTCCGAAGATTTTGGACGATAATGGAGGAATGTAACAGACGAATATTTCTCACTTCACTTATTTTTTTTTACTTCTGGGCGCATTTGTAGACATTACTCGACCTAGAGGGAACAGTCCACACTAGGCGACATTTTTTATGGGGACGATACATTTGGGTCTGCTGCCTAAGCTGTATTGAAATAAAAGTGGTTTCAATGTCGGGACACTACTCACAGTTGAAGGACCTTTTTCGATTTCGAGTAACTTAAACTATGACATATGTATTTAAGCGATTGTTCTCCTGGCCGAACAATATGTATTATCCAGTGATGTATTCAGGGCTGTTTTATTGTTGTTGAAATGTGAAACCTGTGAACGGACCCAAGGTGGATTCTTTTAATGCCACAGCACCGCTGTGTTTGGGAGACACATCTTGGTTGTTATTATATAAATTTCAGTTATTTTCCTTCACAGAAGTTCGTTTGAGGGGGTGTGTTCCTTTATTATTTGTTTTAGTTAATATATATATATATATATATATATATATGTGTGTGTGTGTGTGTGTGTGTGTGTGTGTGTGTGTGTGTGTGTGTGTGTGTGTGTGTGTGTTTGTTTAGTTGAATAATCCTGACATATGTCTAACTTCTTTTTTTTCTAATTCTCT